TGATGTTAAGAATAAATACAAAGTTTGTCCATTCATGTTTTTCATCATGCTTTCTTGTTTGTCAGCTGAAACAGGGGCGGGAATTCTCGCGCGATGATTGGCTGATTAGAGTGTGTCAATAACTTCGTTAAGATATCAGGGGACCTTCGCGACCGGTGGTCAATTAACCCCTCGTAGCACGCTAACTAATAAAGATACCTCAGTATCTTTAAAAGCTGAATAAATGGAGATTGTAACTGTGTAACTTTTTYTTGATAAGAACGAATCGTGTTTTTTTTTAATGGGTATTCTAATTTTTTTTTGACTGCTCATTTTTAAGAAGTACCAGGAACACCGGATTTCATTTTGCTAATAAACTGTTACTCCCTTCGATTAGAACACAGTTTGATCTCTAGAAAAGGGTCTCATTTTTGATTAACGCGTTTGTTGCGAAAAAATCCGCTTTTAAACCGGGATACAATGTAAAAGCTAGAGATGTAATAAAGATTGANGTGATTCCTTTTGTGTACGCTTATTTACGTTATGTCTCAACCCAATAGCGTGGTGGCTTAGATGCACAGAAGGCTACACCTTCTCACACGGCACGAAAGAGAAACTGACACACCTACTATACGTAGACGATCTTAAGACCTACAGCAAATCTGCAAGTAAAGCAACAATACTGGCAAAAACATTGAAAGATATGTTCCAAGACATTGGTCTGACGTGGGGGATGGATAAGTGCGCGGGGGTTGACCTTGTCAGGGGGAAACTCCAGCACACCCAGGACACCAACCTTTCAGCAAATGAAAAGCTTAAAATGCTGGATGAAACTGACACCTATAAATTCCTTGGGAAATTCGAGAACTCCAAGCAACTTGAAGATCAGGTTTTCGAGGAAACAAGCAGGGAATACCTGAAAAGGTTATCCGTTATCTGGACCAGCAATATATCTATACCTAGGAAAATCAGAGGCACCAACACTTTTGCTTTACCAGTCCTCCAATATCAAATGTGGACAGGAGATTGGACCATCGATGGTTTGAAAACTCTTGACAGACGAACCAGAGAAATAATCAAAGACAACGGTGGAATGCACAAGAGCGAATCTACAAAACTGCTGTACCTTCCAAGCAGCCTAGGAGGAAGCGGTCTTAAAAGTGTAGAAGACACATACAAGGTGACAACTATCAAGGCAGCAAATTATATCAACAACTCGACAGACACAAGAATCAAACTTGTAAGATCATTTGAAAAACTCAAGGCCGAAGAGGGACGAAAGTCAGTATTTAAACAAGCCACAAAGTATGCCCTAGAATACAATATCGAATGCACCTTTACTGAAACAGGAACACTGTTAACAACAGAAAGTAAAACTACACAAGTCAACTTGGCAAGCCCACGAGCTATCAAAGATACATTAAGTAAAGCTGTGATCAAAAAGATCTCTGAAGAACTACACCAACAGAAATGGCTCGGAGATCTAACCACCAAACAACATCAAGACCTGAATATATCGGATAACACCTACCAGATCCACACAACATGGAAGAATGTACCAGACATAGTATGTAGCGTCAACAAGACCATCAGACAGCAACTACTACCAACAAAGACCTACTACGAAACCAAGCTACTAAAACAAGTCCTCGACAAGAGATGCCGCATGTGTAATACTTCAACCGAATCAACGACACACGTAATGTGTGCTTGCTCCAGAATAGCACAAACTCTATATAAAGCCAGACACGATAAACTGCTTCGACCTTTGTACCACTACTTACTTTACAAATACCGGTTCCAAGAAAGTGATCACTCAAAACCATGGTACCAGCAAAGATTACCAGAAGGTAAAATCGAAAACGACCACGCAAAAATCTTATGGGACGTACCCTTCTACCTCGAAAGAGCCCCTAAAGATGGCGCTAATAAACCCGACATCGCAGTCCTGGATAAAGACAACAACACCTGGATACTCATCGAAGGAACAGTGTGCAGCGTGGGGACCATAGGAGACCGTTCAAAAACAAAAGAAGAGAAATACTCTGATTTACGAATGGGATTAAGATCGTTGTATAAAGAATGTACTGTCACTCAGATAAACATTGTCTTTGACTTCCTTGGAGGGTACTATCCCCAGCTAGAACAAGGGATAAACATCCTAACAGACGATAGAAAAGAAACAACTTTCATCATAACAAAATGCCAAAAATGGCTCCTATCGCAAAATGCTGAAATAGTTAAGAAATTCTATGAGTTTATTTAAGTATACATGTATGTTCGTGACTAGGAACACTTGGACTGCAGCAATTGCTTAGGTTATGCCCGCAATGTTGTATGTAAACAAAAAAGAAAAGTTTTCAATAAAGATGCCATAATAATAATATAATGCTATTTATATAGCGCTTATCCAATTCTGTTCTAAGCGCTTTAAAACTACATGACAACTGCAAAACACATGAGAGTCTTGGTAGACTGTGAGCTTGAGTTGGCGCCTCTGGCTGCCGCTGCACAGTCTGTCCCAAGATCTCAAACTAAAAAAGCACAACAACCAGATTACATCGCAATAAACAAGTCAAATGTTTTTGCATGATGTTTGGTGGCTTAACCAAGCTCATTTGCACTTTGACRGGTCTTGTATTTAGTCCTGCTGGGTGTCATGCCACCCTCCTCACCAGGGAAGACGGTGGGGGTGCCGGTTTAGACACCGACGACCCGTCCATGAGGCAGGTTGTACTGGGTTACAATGTTACCAGTAAACTCTTTCAAGCATAGGCCGCCCAACTATTGCTCGAGTTGAAGGAAAGGACGAATGTGCAAGCTTTTATGTCTTTAAGTAACAAT